TTGTTGCCGGCATTATCATAACTGTCTTTTGTATCTTTAGAGGCTCAGTAGACGTTTGTGTGGGTTATGTTCGGGTGTTGGATGGGTCACTGGACTATGTTGTAATGTTTTGTTCTTCTAAACTCTAACTATATGAAATTAGGAGACTTAACTATGGTTTAAGGGTTGTAATATAAAACGAACTAGCAATGTCATATGTACGATCTTTCCTACTATCTAATTAAATTAAAGCATGGTTTCTTGATCGCAGTGAGTTGGGTAGAGAGTGTCCGAAAAGGCTTGCTCAATCGGGTTCACTCGATTGAGCGCCGGTCGCGCCTCTCGAGGTTGGGGCGTGACAGAAATGACAAACGTTTGGTAACTCACCAGATAAATGAAACAAGAAAGAAAGGAAGCCCACAGTGTTATGAATATCAACAAAAGAGCAAGAACCCAGAATTTCTGGCCTTTGCTTTCAGCCGGCCAGGAACCAAAGTGCAGAACAAGATTGTTAAAGAGCAAAAGAGGATAGGGAAGGGTTTATATAGTGTAGGAAATCGAACACATAAACATGGAAAATCATCAATCAAACACTAGAAAGGAAAGCACTCAAAATCAGTAAGGAAAGGGAGAAAAATTTAAAACCCTAATTTTAGGTAAAGTACACAAATTGGCAGAAATAAAAGGTAAAAAAATCACATGCTGCATAGAATAAGATGAACATAGACAGTAATCGAACCAAATTTGGTTCGATTTAAAAAGAATCTTAAACCCTAATTTTAGGTTAAGTAAAAATCAGCAAACAAGAACAAATTTACACATAATAGGATGCATATAGACGAGATAACATTTATAATCACAGAATCGAACCATATTTGGTTAGATCTAAAAGAGATCTGAGACCCTAATTTTAAGGGTAAGTAAAAATCTCAAAGATACACAGAGATTCATACCATAAAAGAACAAGAACGAACACAGACGAAAAAAGGTCAAGGAACTGAACCAGTTTTGGTTCAAAATTGAAGAGATTCGCTTTCTATGTTTAGGCAAGCGGTATATAGGATGTTCCAGTACCAGGGGGAGTAGTATATGGCAGGAAATAACTAAGTAATCCCATGTCCGGTGGGATTAGGAGAGAAAATTTGGGGAGACGGCTAGGGTTTAGGCAAATAGGTGAGAGAAATTTGAGAGCATTCGAAGGTGGCGGGCGACGGAGAACAGTTAGGGTTAGGGTAGGGTTTGGCTAATTAAAAGGGGAGGAGTAAGTGGGTCGTTGATCTTAGAGATCAACGGCCACGATTAATCAGAGGTTTTGGGTCGGGTTAGTTAATTGGTAGGGCTGAGGGGTTATTTGGTTTGGGCTCAGGTATTATTGGGCTGGGGTTGGGGTAGTTTAGGTCTGAAATTAGGATGAATTTAGGGCCAGATTTTAAATACCCAATTTTTAACAAATAAATAATTTATAAACGTAGTAAATAAATAACAAAAAAATATCATTTATGCATGAAAATGATTAAAAATAATTGCTTAACCTTATAAAAATATAAAAAGTTGTTTTCTGCATTAGTAATGTAATTATATATGCATATGGGCTATTATTGCAAAATGTGCAATTTAGCCTTAAAATACAAATGTAATTATAAAAATGCACTAAAAAAAATATTTAAACATTATGTTGGTATAAATGATAAGTTAAGATGATCAAATAATCATAAAATGATTTGGAGGATAATGATTGGGTATTTATATATAATAAAACACAGAAATAAATTGATTTAAGGCCTTTAAAAATTATGAAAAATTATAAAAAAATATTTGTGTATGCTTATAAATCAAATGATGATGGACATGCACTATTTTGAAAGTATATGTATATATATTTAAAATATGATGGAAAAATTGGGTATCAACATCCCCTTACTAGAAACACGCGCATAAGCCCTGTAACTCGGCGCATGCGCATCAATATACACACCACCTTTATGTCACCGCAAGAGCATCTTATTCACAGCACAACAATCAACCGCACCACATGTGCACATATGCCACAACATCTCCCAAAAACAATACCAAAGCCACAACAATACATAGTCCACGACTCAACAATAATATGAACAAGAATCACAATAATTACACAAGGGCACGGGGAGTGAACAACAATAAGAGTGCTTCAAATAACAAACAATTCCAATTCAAGTCATATTAATAGCCTAAGGTCTAAACAGTCAATTAACACACATACGCACGTGCATACACACATCATCTTATGTACACATCGTTTCACATAGCACAAATATTGTAATTAGACCAAATCCTAAGAGGAAGTTTCACCTACACAGGGTTAGGCAAGATACTTACCTCAATTAGGCTAATTAATACTCTAAAAATGCTTTTCATTTAAAACTCACCTATGCACGGCTCAAATCCAATAAAAATGTCTTAATAATATCAAACAATGCAAGAGAAACCAATTTCGATTAATAAAGTTAATATCTTTACGTCATTCTCGAAAAAGTCAACAAAAGTCAACCCTGACCTTGTCCGATCAAAACCCGAGTCGAAGGATAGATCTCGACTATCCATAACCCCACGAGTCCATATATGTGTTTGGTTTTCAAATCCGAGTCCAATTCGACTCTCAAATCTCCAATTTTTATTTTTTAAAACATAGTCAAAAATTTCTCTTCAATTCTCATGGTCTATGTTATACCCCATGTTTTCGTACATGAAAGTACATCATAAGTAAATTGATGAAAGCTCGGAAATGAAATGTTACATCCCACATTTTCGTACATTAAAGTTTCATCGTAAGTTAATCGATGTAAGTTCGGGAATTGGATTACTTTGGGATTATAAGTATTATGGTGTTTCAAACAAGTGATAAGTAAATTCGTGAAGGTGAAAGGGTAAGCAAATCGAAGAAAATGAGTTTCGTCGAAGTTCGACAATTTGGGGATAAAATATGGTCCAAGCTATAATATCTCGTATTTATGGACTAGTGCCATACAAGGTACCACATGACCGTGATTATGAAGTGTATAAAGTTTGTTAAAAGTGAGTGGTATTTTAAGTAATTTGAGATAATTCTTGATTATGTGGATAATTGGTTAATTATTAGTTAGTGGGAGATTAAAAAGTTAATTAAGGAATTTGTGGATAAGCTTAATTAAGACATTTGGATAAATTTCGACGTGGCAACAAAGCCTTAAGTTATTGTGACTCTTTAGATATAACTTTGTTTTGGACATAACACATAGCCCTTCTTTACACGTGAAAGTCTTTGGATATGACTTTGTTTTGGACATAACACATAAGATCCCTTCTTTACACGTGAAAGTCTTTGGATATGACTTTATTTTGGACATAACACCAATGGGCATACTGAGTCCTTGTTTACCTTTGTTTGGTTTCTTTATTAATGATATAACTTGGAGAAATTTTGAAGACATGATAGAAGAAGGCCGAATAATTGTTTGATGATGTAGATTATAGAGTGAATATTAGTCAGATAAGAAATAACGTGCTATGATATTAAAAATATCATACGGATTTTCCCCTACTCTGATCAGCCGTTACGTGTTTCGTCGCGATTGGCATGTGCTAGAAGGATTGTCAAGAGAATCGGTTCAGATATGTTAAGGCTAAGCCCTTCCTTCATTTTGGCATGATCTCGTAACTACATGTGTTTAATGACGAGGCATAAAGAGAAGTTCATGCTCCCGAGTTTATATACATTATCCTAGTCTCATAAGTTACAGTATTCTCCCTTATCGAGACTTTATATTCAATTAAGTATTGTCTTCTTCTAGTTAAGAGAGCAGAGGGTCTCTATATATACAGTATTACAGTATATTCACCACCATCAAGCTATAATCAGTGGGCAGGCCCCTATTGGACAACCTCTGATGATGATAAGTTATATACCGAGCCTACTATGGCCGAGCGCCTATGAGCAAGCCCAGAATGGCTGAGATACAGAGCCTAGTATGCCCGAGTGCCTATGAGCGAGCCTACTATGGTAGAGCAGTTACACATAACGAGCCTTATAGGGCCCGACAGCTATTTTACATACTATATTGAGAGAGTCAGTATCAGCAGGTAAGCATATCTTCAGATTATCTTTGACTCCCAGTTACTTTAAGTTATTATATTATCAATTCAGTTTCAGTTTTCAGTTATTCTGTTGCCTTACATACTCAGTACATTATTTCGTACTGAGGTCCCTTTTGCTGGGGATGCTACATTTCATACCTGCAGGTCCTGATTCACAGTTGGACAAACCCCCCCAGCAGATAGAGTCGAACATCAGCTTGATTGGTAAGCTCCACTTCCTCGGAGTTACCATGTCTAGACCTTGGAGTCCATTTTATATATACAGGTTTGATGGATAGGTCGAGGCCATGTAGATGAGTCTTGTATATTTTGTATATTAGTAGATGTTCATGGAGGCTTCGTCGGCCTGCACAGTTATATATATCAGCTTTTGGGTATGTTCACCCCACAGATTAGAGAGACGTTATTTTCAGACGGTTCAGAATATGGCTTCATCGGCCTAAGTTGAGGGTTATCCCTCCATATTTCACAGTTACAGAGTTGCACGCTCGAGCCGAGTATGGCGCCGGGTGCCCGTCGCGGCCCATCGATTTGGGTCGTGACTGTCTAGATGTTAAAATTCATAAATAATCATGTTATATAATCAAAATTGAGTCAAAATCACTTACCCTATAGTTTTGTATGAAAAGCTCCTTCTAAAATCGTCTCCCACTGAGTCTAGGGCTCCAAATGTGATAAAATTAGACTGTCCCGAAATCCCACTATTTTGTTCAGCTGCAGAATTCTTAAACGCGACCCTAGGTTCGCAAATGCGACAAAAGGATCGCAATTGCGGTGCCTGACAAGCCCAGGAAATGTCACAAATGCGACTCAGACATCACATTTCCGAAGTCTGCCCGGGTCGCAAAAGCGACCAAAATATCGCAAAAGTGACCAGCAAAGGAAATGACCGACCTTCCCAATTGCGATCATGGCATCGCATTTGCGACACCTGACACCCTTCTGTCTTCTTCATACTTGCGAACTGGCGCTAGAAATTGTGATAACCACACCACCAGCACACCAGCAAACTTGAACCAAGTCCAAACCTATCTGAAAAATCCCGAAACTCACCCAAACTCCCAGGCCTCCACACTAAACATCCACACAAGTCTAAAATCATCATGCGAACTCGCTCGTGAACTCAAAACACTAAGATAACACCCAAAACTAGGAATCGAACACCAAAACACACAGAATTCACAATGAAACTCAAGGATCACTAAAATCACTACCAGGCGTCCGATTCCTACCAAACCAACTCGAAATAACACCAAATTTTGCAGATAAGTTCCTATTTTTAAAAGGGGCATATTCTAAGTCTCAAAACCAAAATCTGAATCTGATAGCCATGAAGTCAAACTTAGGAAATTTCTAAACCTTCAAATTACCAACCTTCGCCAAATAGCCAATTCAATCTAGGAACCTCTGAATTCAATTTCGAGCATACTCCTAAGTCCAAAATCACCATACGAACCTATTGGAACCATCAAAACATCGTTCCGGGATTGTTTTTACAGAAGTCAAACCACAGTCCATATTTCCAACTTAAGCTTCCAAACTAAGAGCCAATCGATCCAAATCAATCCAAGACCTCCCCGAAACGAAACCAACCATCCGTACAAGTCATAAAACCATAAATACACCTACGGGAAGCTTTAAAAGGGGAAAGGGGGCTCAAATACACAAAACGAAAGGTCGGGTTGTTACATTTTTCCCTCTTCAACGACGTTGGTCCTCGAACAAGTATAGAGACATACCTGAGGTGCCAAAAAAATGAGGATAACAGCTCCGCATATCGTGTTCGGTCTCCTAACTCACCTCCTCGACCGGTTGACCCCTCCACTGAACATTCACTGATGCAATTTTCTTTAACCTCAACTTCTGGACCTACCTGTCCAAAATATCCACCAGCTCCTCAACATAGGTCAAATCCTTGTCCAATTGCAGTAAGTTGAAATCTAACAAATGTGACGGATCACTCTAATACTTCAAGAGCATGGAAACATATAATACCGAGTGAACTTCCAATAAGCTGGGTGGAAATGCAAGTATGTAGTCCACCTCACCACTCTCTCAAGAATCACAAAAGGATCAATATATTGTGGGCTCAACTTGCCCTTCTTCCCGAACCTCATCACACCTTTCATGGATGAAAGTAGGACCCTCTTACCCACCATGAATACCACATTACGAGCCCTCCAGTCAGCATAACACTTTCGCCTGGACTGTGCTGTATGAAGCCGATCCTGAATCAACTTCACCTTCTCCAAAGCATCTCGAACCAATTCAGTGCCCAACAACCTAGCCTCATCAGGCTCAAACCAACCAACCGGAGAATGACATTGTCTTCCATATAGGGCCTCATACAAAGCCATCTGGATGCTCGACTGATAGCTGTTGTGTAAGTCCCCGTGAAATTTTTACTCAAAAACCCAAAATCTCGTAGTGCCAAGTTAGGAATATGTGTTAGAAATTTATAAGGAAAAATGTTTTCTTTAGAAAAGCGCATTTCTGCGGTCCATTATGCGGTCGCATAATAGCTATGTGGACCGCATAGTTGCCGCAGAGTGAGGCAGGATGTTGGTTAGTTTTGAGGTCAACTATGCGGCCAATTATGCGATCGCATAATCAATATGCGGGATGCATAGTCATCGCACAACCTCTTTGGAATTTTGCGAGGGGCAGTTTTGCGGTGCATTATGCGACAGCAGAACAGGTATGCGGACTGCATTCTTATCGCATACCCGGGCAGAATGTTCAACTTTTGAGGGCCATTATGCGGGCCGCATATCAGTATGCGACCGTAGATTGGGTCGGGTCTCCTATTTTCTAACTTTTAAAACCCGACCCCATCCCATTAAAAACACCCCATTAGACCCCTTTTATGCTATTTTACTGCATTTAGAGTGAGAGAAGGAGTTCTATAGGGAGAAACAAATTCTCACCAAGTCACTACAATCCTTGCCCAAATCGTTAAAGATTTTCAAGTAAAATTTGCTAGGCCTTCATCCTAAGAGGTAAGAACTTGTGCCCTAACCTAAATTTCAAAATTCCTATTAGAATAAGTGATTAACAAGTAGGTTCATGAGTATAAGGGTTGATTATCTTGCATGCATGAATGATAATAGGGTATGGGGGGATTGTGAGCTAAAAATATAACAATGGTGTGTAGGATGATAAAAATCTCTCACAAAAGGGTCCAAAAATCACAATGCACACTTAGTGCTTGATAATATACTCAAATGAGCTTGAATCTTAATCATCTCTCTGATTTTTGGTTCAACTTGTAATTTTCATAAAATAGATCGAAGTTGCTAAGAGTTCCGGAATTTTGTAAGAATTTAAGGAAAGCTCTATTGAGGTATGTATGGCTAAAACCCCCTCTTCTTAGAAATTGAGCTCCTTTTGTGTCCATGCAAATGTTGTTAAGACCGAAATTTGATTGATGTATTGATTGTTATTTCATATGAATTGGTGTTGCAAATATATACGTGAAAGGTGTATCTCAATATGTTCAATATGCTATCCTTGGTAATTTAAGGATGTGAGAAGAATGTGAACCATGTGTTGAAATGCCTAGACTTCAAGTCAAGTTTAAACTGAGATTGTTATGCCAAATTGTGTGAGAAAACTCAATATGGTTGATACTCCTAATTGCTCTTATGTGTACCAAATGTATTTGATTGATTGCGTCTAGTTGTTGGTAATCTATAAAGATGTTTGAAATGAATTTGGGAGAATGAGTGTGGCTAACGTGCCGAGAACTTGAGTTATAATTGTGCCTGGTGATGTCTATGACATGAGAAAATGTGAATAGATTATGAAATGAGCCTTGACTTTACTTTCCGTAAATGACATCAAAAATAAAGTGGCCTAAAGGCTTTGTACTCAATTTATGGCCATAAGTGGCTGTTCGAGATAATGATTTGCCTTATAAGTACCTCCAATGTGACTCGAGTTATTGCATACTCCAATGTTGAAATTGTAAACTGTCATGATTGGAAAGGAGTAATTCAAGAATAATTGGTGTAATTGCTTGTTTATGACTTTGATGTGTGTTTCTATTATGGTTTGGTGTGTCCCCTCCTTTGGGGAGAACCCTTTGTGTTTAAAGTTCCATTGCTAATGAATTTGAGGTGTATGATTTCTGAAATACTCTATATGCCCATGATTCATGTTTCCCCTCATGTGTACTTGACGTCTTGAATTGAATGGCTTATTGTTGAAATTAATATTGATGTGAAATATGTGTAAATGATGTGAAATGGGGGAAGAAGAGCTTGAGTTATGAAATGTGGCCTAGTGCCAAGTATGATGTGATAATTGTGGCCCCAAGTGCCTAAGAATTGATATATGTGAAATTAAGATTGAAATGAGATGATTAATGAAAAAGGAATAACGTCTTGGTAAGACAGCCTAGCCGATCGGGCCGTGATCGGACACCATGCTGCACACATGGTGGTATTGTGCTGATATTGAATTTCGGAAAATGAGAATGAGATTGTGATTGAGGTACATGTCTCAAATGAGGCAACCTAGCCGATCGGGTCGTGATCGGACTCCACGCAATAAAGCGGTGGTATTGTGAATGATGATGAAAAGTATTAAATGCCGCAACCTAGAGCTACGGGGATTATGTGAAAGTTATATGATTCTTTGATTTGATGATGTGGTGATTGTTTAAAACTTTTGATTCTTGTATGATAGTTCTTTCTATTGAGATGGTGTTTATGATTTCTTTATTCTTGTATGATAGTTCTTTCTATTGAGATTGTGTTTATGATTTCTTTGTTCTTGTATGAAAGTTCTTTCTAATGAGATGGTGTTTAGTTATACATACTAGTACTATTCCATGGTACTAACGTCACTTTTGTCGGGGGCGCTACATCTTTAAATGGATGTAGGTGGTTCCATAGCAGAGAGTGTTGGTCGCATCTAGTGGCGCATCCTCTTTTCAGCTGACCTGGTGAGCCCCACTTCATTTCGGTCTCCTGATTCATCTCTTCATCGCGTACTTGCGTATCGAGGTATAGCCGGAGCCTAGTTGCCGGTATTTTTATATTTCTCTTCAGTTGTATTTAGAGGCTCCGTCGACAGGTTGTGGGTGGTGTCGGGTATTGGAATTAAAATAGAAATGTTGATATTTGGCAAAGATGTATTAAACTTGTAATACCTTGAAAGTTATGAACGAAGTTGCAAATGGAGATGAAATGGAAGTAGTTAATGATATATTTTTAGAATTTGATTAATGGTGTACATTTCCTCTTTATTCAAAGACGAGTTTGGGTAGAATGAAATCTAACAGGCTTGCTCAGTCGGGTTTACTCGGTTGAGCGCCGGTCGCGCTCATCGGTTTTGGGGCGTGACATGTTGTTGTAGGCAAACTCTGCTAGCGGTAGAAACTGATCCCATGAGCCCCCGAGATCAATAATACCGGAACGTAACATGTCCGCCAAGATCTGAATAGGACACTCGGACTGTCTGTCCATCTATGGATAAAATGTCGTACTCAGTTCGACTTGTGTGCCCAACTCACATTGCACGACTCTCTAAAAATATGATGTGACTTGCGTGCCTCGATCGGAGATAATATACACCAGCACACCATGAAGACGAACGATCTCCCGAATGTAAATCTAAGCCAGACCACAGAAATTAAGTGTGCAGACTTGGTCAGTTTGTCCACAATGACCCACACAACTTCAAATATCCTCAAGGTCCGTGGAAGTCCAACTACGAAATCCATAGTGATATGCTCCCATTTCCACTCCGCAATATCAAGCCTCTAAAGAAAACCACCCAGTCTCTGGTGCTTGTCCTTCTCCTGCTGATAGTTTAAACACTAAGCCACATACTCCACAATATCTTTTTCATTCTTCTCCACTAGTAGTGTTGCTTCAAATCATGGTACATCTTCATGATGCCTAGATGAATGGAATACCACGAACTATGGGCCTCCTCAAGAATCAGCTCCCGTACCCATCAACATTTGGCACAAAAATCCGGCCCTAAAGCCTCAACACCCTATCTTCACCAATAGTCACCTCCTTAGCATCACCATGTTGCACCGTGTCCTTCAGGACAAGCAAGTGGGGGTCATCATATTGACGCACCTTGATGTGCTCAAACAAAGAAGACTATGAAACCACGTAAGCAAGAACCCGGCTCCAAAACATCTAACCTCGGAAACCTGTTGGCCAAAGCCTGAACATCCAAAGCTTACGACCTCTCCCCAGCTAGAATAAAAAGCAAGACTACTCATACTCTCAGCCTTCCTACTCAAATCATCGGCCACCACATTGGCCTTCCCGGGATGATATAGAATGGTGATATCATAGTCCTTTAGTAACTCTAACCACCTCTGTTGCCTCAAGTTCATATCCTTTTTCTTGGATAAGTGTTGTAGACTCCTATGATCCGTGAACACCTCACATGACACGCTGTAGAGATAGTGCCTCCAAATTATAAGCGCGTGAACAATGGCTTCCAACTCCAAATTGTGCACTGGTAGTTTTTCTCATGGGGCTTCAATTGACGGGAAGCATAAGCAATCACTCTATCCTCCTACATCAACACACACCCAATGCCAATCCGTGAAATATCATAACAAACTGTATAAGTACCAGATGCTAAAGGCAAAACCAGAACTGGAGTTGTAGTCAACGCGATCTTGAGCTTCCGAAAGCTCTCCTCACACTCGTCGGACCACCCAAATAAAGCACCCTTCTGAGTAAATCTAGTCAAAGGAATTGCGATGGATGAAAAACCCTCCACGAAATGGCGATAATATCCTGCCAGCCCAAGGAAACTCCGGATCTTAGTAGAGGTAGAAGGTTTGGGCCAACACTGAACTGCTTCAATCTTTTTTGGATCCACCTTAATCCCCTCATTGGGCACCATATGGCGCAAGAACGCCACCAAATCAAGCCAAAACTCACACTTGGGGAATTTAGCATATAGCTTCTTCTCCCCCAACGTCTAGAGCACGATCCTCAAGTGTTGCTCATGATCGCTCCGAATGCGAGAATAAACCAATATATCATCAATGAACACGATGATGAAGGAACTAAGATATGGATGGAACACGATGTTCATCAAGTGCATAAAGGATGTTGGGGCATTGGTCAGACCAAAAGGCATCACCAAAAACTCATAGTGGCCATAACAAGTCCTAAAAGACGTCTTCGAAATATCTGAAGCCCGGATCATCAACTGATGGTACCCCGACCTCAAGTCAATCTTTGAGAATACCCTATTACCCTGAATCTAATCGAAAATCATCAATACGAGGTAGTGGGTACTTGTTCTCAACTGTAACCTTGTTCAGCTGCCTATAGTCAATACACATCCCCATTGAGCCATCTTTTTTCTTCATAAATAGAACAGGAGCACCCCACGACGAGACACTCCATCTAATGAAACTCTTATCAAGAAACTCCTGACGTTGTTCCTTTAATTCCTTCAACCCACTAGTGCCATGCGATATAGTGGAATAGAGATGAGCTGAGTTCTCACCACCATGTCAATACCAAAATCAATATCTCTATCGGCGTTATGCCCAGTAAGTTTGCTGGAAACACATCTAGAAACTCTATCACTACCAGAATTGACTCAACAATAGGAATATCAGTAGTAACACCCCTCACAAAGGCTAAATATGTCAAGCACTCCTTCTCAACCATCTGTTGTGCCTTCAGAAAGGACACCACCCTATTAGGAACATGACCTAGTATAACTCTCCACTCCAACCTCGACAACCCCGACATAGCCAACGTCACGGTCGTAGTGTGATAGTCAAGAATAGTGTGGTAGGGTGACAACCAATCCATGCCTAAAATCACATGAAAGTACACCATATTGAGAAACAGAAGGTTAACCCCAATCTTATAACCCCCAATAGTGACCAAACACGACACGGTCTACCACAAGAGATTCCCCCACAAGCGTAGACACATAAATAGGAGTAGTTAAATAATCAAGAGACATATCCAAATATGAAGCAAAATAGGATTACACATACGAATAAGTGGAACCCGGATCAAATAAAACTAATGCATCTATATGACATACTGGAACAATACCTGTGATGAAAGCATCTGATGCAATAAACTCATTCCTACCAGGTTTAACAACGAGCCTGGCCTCCCCCTCTAGGATGCCCTCTACCCACCTTTCCTCTACCCCTAGATGGCTGTGTAGGTGGAGTAGCAACTAGAGCAGCAACCATAGCCTGGGTACCCTGTGAAGATCCAACCCTCCAAAGTCCGGGTCAATCTCTCACCATGTGGCTAGTATCACCACACTCAAAAACACCTCTCTGCGGGCATGGATGTTGGTATTGAGTTTAGCCCGGACGACTAGAATAACCGATATAGGAACCCCATGCAAGAGGTGCACTGGAAGATGGTTGTCCAAATAGGGTACTCTAAGGTCCCTGAATATCTAGAGCACTGCGAGCAACCTGAAGTGCAGACTGAACTGGTTGACTGATAAAACATCTACCATGGTGAGCTGAAACTATGGAATAGTAAAGGAAGAATGTGCTAAAAAGGTTAAAGGAGTGAGATTGCATTTATTCAGATCCTACAGAACATTATGCAAGCATGACGTCGGGGAAAAGCAGTTAGGGTTCCGCACCCGATGATATTGATAAATAAGTGAGAATGAACACTTGATACATAAGGAGCCCATACGAGAGGTAAGTTAAGACAAAGGACACCAAGAGGGGTTACGCAGAATATAGATATGAGAATGGACCAACGTGTAGTCTGTAGTTTATTCAGGAAGAGCCTAGTTTTGGCTAGACAAGAGGCCAGGGATAAATAAATAGATCATGCAAGATAGACGTAGTGAACCCTAACATAGTGAATTCAATCTCGTAGATATGACATCATATCCCTTGAGAAATATTCATATAGGAGATGGAGTAATTAAAGGTACCGTGTAAGTGTTACGAAAATAAGAGAGAGTGCCACCAAGGAGACAATCAAAATTTGAGTTCAGAAGTAACCCTACGAGCACAAGGGCATGGAGGTATGTAAATAAGGATATGTGTAGGTGAGTCAGAACATCGAAAATTCCTTCGGGTATACAATATAACAAGCTTGCAACTTTACAAGAGCCAAAAGGTCTCCTTAAGTACTACAAAGAAAGACTAGCTGAGGAAATAAGGAAGAAGGCTCAACCTAAGCATAGTGACATAAAGAAGAAATGGTCTTGTAACAACAGTCCCACTACAACATTGTATGCACTCAGCAAGAAAGTGGCACCTATCGTGGCTAATGAACGGGAAGAGGAAAAAAATCAAAAGGTGATATTCAAGATCATATGGGTTGCATAGAATTCCAACATATATGGACACTAAGAAGAGCCAAGTATTCATGCAACAAGTGGAAGAACGACCAGGAAAAGTCATTGCTTACATTTAAAGACAACTGAGAAGGCACGAAAGGAAATATATGGTGCTAGAAATTTAAAGGAAGATTGTCAGTAGTATAAAAAGATATGTGTAGGTCGCAATCTAAAGTATGATAGAGCAATAAGGTGTTAGGTAGATAAGAGTAAAGGTAGGAAAAGGCGACGAGGACAGGTATGGCCTCAAGATTAAGCCCATCAAAACAATAGAGCTGATGGTTTTCATAAGTTATAGAAAACTCAGTATAGCCTTAATGAATGCAAAGGAGTCTAAACCTAGTAGCATTTAGAAGAGATGGATTGCAGCCCTAGTAGTAGAATAAGGGTGTAATTGTGATAGATAAGTTGATGACATTTGGGCCATCGATTGAGTAACGATTTTGAGAAAAAGGATGTCATTAATTGCACGGGATTACAACCCATATGATGAATCACGTCGGGATGCTATGAAATACAATTATTGCAGTATAGTATCGTCCCTAGGTGGATCAGGAAAATCACTTCAGATGTTTCTCGATGAGACGTAAGCCCTAGTGACAATGTATTATGTCAGAGGCGATGGCTGGAGCTAGTGAAAGACTATGATGTTGATATTTTATATCATCCAGGGAAGGCGAATGTAGTAGTTGATGCCCTCAGCCGTAGATCCATGGGTAGCCTATCATATTTACAACCAGAGAAGAGTGAGATAGCTTGTGTGATTCATCAGCTAGCTAATCTTGGAATTCAATTGCTAGATTCAGGTGGTATCGGAGTTACTATTCAGGACATGGTAACATCCTCTTTAATAACTGAAGTAAAGGAATGCCAGTATGAAGATCCTATGCTAGCTCATTACAAAGATACAACCCCTCAAAAGGAGAAGACACCATTTGAGATTACATGAGATGGAGCCCTCAGATATGACCTCACGTCGATTATGTGTTCGTAATGTGGCAAGGTTGCGCCAGCAGGTTATGGGATAAGAATTGAGAGAGTAACCTAGAGTTGTGTGGCACACCTCGATAATAATAAGGTGAAGTAAGTGTTATAGTACAGTATGACCTACCTAGATGCACTAAAGCCAAAAGGACAGATAACCAAGACTAGGAAAAAAATAGTGTTGATACCCAATTTTTCCCTCATTTTTTAATGTATATATATACTTTCAATTTTTATGAGCACACACAAGCATTTTTATAATTTTTCATAATTTTTAAAGGCTTTAAGTCAATTTATTTCTGCATTTTATTATATAAACATCCAATAATTTTCCTACAAATTACTTTATGATAATTTACTCATCTTAACTTATCATTTATACCAACATGAGGTTTTAAATATTTTCATTGCATTTTTAAGGCTAATTGCATATTTTTGCAATAATAGCCCATATGCATGTATAATTACAGTATTTATGCAGAAAATAACTTTATATTTTTATAAGATTAAGTAATTATTTAAAATCATTTTAGTGCTCAAAATGATATTTTTATTATTTATTAGTTGTTTTTATAAATTATTTATTTATTAAATATTGGGTATTTAAAATTTAACCTAAATTCCTACCTAAATTCGGACCTAAAGCTACCCTTTCACCAGCCCAATACCCTTGGCCCAAAACCCACTAGCCCAGTCCACATACCCATTTTAATACCCGACCCAGGACCCCTTAAATCAGGACCTTTGATCTCTAGGATCAACAGTCCATGTTACACCGGCCCCTTTAAACCTAACCCTAAATCATTCTTCACCACCCCGCCGCCCTGAAACCCTCTCGTCTCTCATCTCTCACAGAAAACCCTAGACGCCTCTCAAAAACTCTCCAAATCCGTCTCAACCATGGATTTTTCCACGATTTTCTTACCTTTTGTATGTTTCTCCTATGAATCTATACTATCTCCTAGTACTTGCCTAAACATGGCAAGTACCCTATCCCAGATTTCGGCCACTCCCCTTTTGACCACTTGAATGTGGACATGAATCTCGTCCATATACTTCACGATGGCTATATGGCCCCGATTAGCAGAGATTATTGGCTAATCTTCGACTCATGTCAACTAGGGTTTGAACCTCCCTTTGTTCCTTACTGATTCTCAACTGATACTTTTCCTTTTTTGTGTTTGACTACTCTTTTCTTTAGGTTTTCCTTTTTCTGCTTTATCCTTTTCCGTAAAAACGATTTTGGTATTATTTGGTGTTTTCTCTGTTGATATACTGAACCCCTTTGATTTGTGTCCTAAAATCAATTTTAATTGATTCCAGAATAATTTTTTCCCTTATTTGTGTTTGAACGATCTGTTTGCCATGTTTACTTGCTCGATTTTGACACTATATAAACCACTCCCCCATTACCCTTTAGGACAGACTTGAAAATCATTATTAACCTCACTAGATCTAAAACTTTACTCCGCTATTTCATTCTGCACTCTGGTCTTGGCCGGCTGGAAGCCAAGGCCGTTAAGTTTTGGGTTTTTACTTCTAATTGACGATCTAAAACATTGTGT